GATATAAAACATCTTCAACACGTTTATGTCCATGGGTGTGTGTGTGTGTGTGTGTGTGTGTGTGTGTGTGTGTGTGTTTATTGTTATGTTGAAATAATTTCTAAAATAAGCTAGTAATGACCTACAATTGTATTATGATCAATGATTGTTTCAAGGAAACGATCCATATGAATATGTTTCCATCAACATACAAATATTCCAAACCCCGACATCCGTCACCCCGATAATAGAACGGTCAATTCAAATTCACAGCTCGTTAACTTGGCCAACGGATGCAACGCACACAAGCGACAGATATTTAATTGCTGATGGACAAGGGAAAGGTTTAGGCTAAGCTTATTTGTTACGTTGTCACCTTGGACTAAATGATAAAAAACCCATTGTAAACTACAATACTCGTAAAATACATACATTTCCGTTGTAAATATCTTTATTTTTTCGCTAAAACATTTTCAATACGCATCATCTTACACTTTCAGAGCTTAAGCAATGAGCACATGCCAAATGTGTGTGTGTGTGTGTGTGTGTGTGTGTGTGTGTGTGTGTGTGTGTGTGTGTGTGTGTGTGTGTGTGTGTGTGTGTGTGTGTGTGTGTGTGTGTGTGTGTGTGTTGTACATTTGCTTCTCTGTCCGTTGTTTAATGCTGTCGACAATACTCCATTTACTAGTGTTAGGAATCGGTTGAAATCTCATTATTGATGATTGCTTCATTACCAACGAACAATCATCGATAAAAATTGGTTAGCGTCAATTTTCAGATTTTCCTATTCAGGTTGTTATTGCAGATATGTCTAACATGATGCACCTTGCTACTTTAAAGTGATGTTGATATATCATGAACATAAACCTTCTGGGGTCTTCAAGAAATATTCAGTCATGACTTTTCAGTTAGTGAAGTGAGTTTTCTAAGAATCAAACAAGTTTTCAGGCCCTGACAACTTCGAAGATCTGTTCCATCGTCTAGTGTTTCAAAGACTAAAACAGCAGTTCCAAAATCGTTTGTGTTCGATTATGAGAAAATGTGATCGATTGCTTGGTCGTTTGGTCACTGCGACCAATCTTCGATTATTTCAATTAATCGGAACACCACTACCATTTACAAGTATATGATAGCGGTCTGTAAGGGAACACAATATCCATTGATTGACCCCATGCGCATCGCTTTTCGCAAAGGGAATAGGATGGCATGGATCAACCGAGTCAGCGGGCCTGATCCCCTGGTAATGTCTGTACCCTCTTACGACAATCCTGGGTTGCCGAAGACCAATTCCAACCAGGAATCTTTACCCGTCCAACATGTTTGTGTCCTATGAGATAGGCTAATGACTGTACAGACGTCCGTGTTTGATTGGAGGTAAGCCCCAATGCCCCAATTTCATGATAGACAATGATAATGATACAATGTATCTCGTCAATTATGACTGCATCTTACAACGGGAACTGTAAACTACACAACTGCTTATCATCAAGTTGTAAGTGATAACAATAACCGATTCAAAACTCGCATATGCGTTACAACCCTATACGTTACTCTATGCACTTTCTGACGAGTTAAATGCATCAGAAACGCTTTGCGGAAAACCTTGTTTACATGTATTCATGAAGCAGTCCCCGATGCCCTGACCTGACTCAAATATAATATAAAGATGAAAGAATCCCTATAGTCCAAGGTTAAAATAGTTGAGTAAGCATAGATGCCTTCAGTTACAAACCCATTGAAATGAATTTGGTGTCACATGGCTAAAAGTATAAAGACAACATCTCTAATGTTCAGCAGTTAACAAAACCAAAACCATAACAGATATCTGCCAGACTGCACGTTATCAATCACTCAGGAATCAATCACAAACAAGCAATGATTTCACAACTGTTCGAGGAATGTCGAGGTCACCTTGCCCCACTGGTGTGGCACTAAGCAAACCTATTCAATGGCAACCCAATATTTATATTTAATAACATATTGATAAAACTGCCCTACCTAAACAGATTTAGACGCACAATAAATATCATATCAATGTGGTTTGATACACTTAGTCTAAAACGTCTTCAGTCCAGACAATTTTAAACAGGTTTATTATTCAAACAATTTCAATCATTTAAATAGTTTAATTGTTTAAATTATAGGACAGGCATGAAACACTTGTCATAGAGTACAGCTTCATATGAAATAAGCGCCGAAAGGTTGGAAATATCGGGAACTTACGCAAATCCGGTCATAGCTTGTATTTCCACCTCTATTTACGTCTATTTCAATTATATTCTATCCAGTTTTTGGTCAGGTGATACAACGCTTATGAAAACGGATTTTGTTAGTTTAAGTAAAAATACGAAGATTCGAGATATTTTGAAAATGGAATTTAGAGTTTTCAGTTCCTGACAGACAATATCTCTCCTGAAGTATCTTTTTAAATGAAGACATAACATCACCTCGTGATTTAGAAAAAGTCATGACCTTGACAGAAAGCTTTTTATCCTGCAATAAAATAGGTGCCACTGTTTGGCACTGCATGTGTTACATTAAACACATGTTAGAAGTAAAACCACCGAATGTTTACTATGCTTGAATTGAAGGTGAAAAATGGTTTTAGATATTTGAAGGACATGCTTTTGTTTGTACGGACTTGGATTCCGTAACAAAGACGTTATGCAGTGGATACCTATGAATCATTTGAACATTTGTTGTATTCCATAGAACGGGACATATTTCAGTCAACAAAATGCACATCGGCATGGAAACGTTTAAAAAAGAAGTTATATTTATAAATTTGTGATGTCTCTTTACTGAAGAGACTAAACGCCCATATGAGAGGAAAGATTGTTTAAATTAAACGTTTTAAACATTGAAAAGAACACACATCTTGGCATGCAAAACAAAGGAATTTTTCACCAGTGTTAAGGACATATTTTCACAAACGAACACAAGAGGGCGAAAAGGGATCACGAATGTTTGATCAACAGGCACTTGTGTTATGAGAGACAGTGATTGTGTTAATGTGAAGACACTGTCCATGTGGGTGGGACAGGCGCGATAATCCAATGACGTATTTATTTAATTACTTTAAGAGTTTAATCAATGTTCTGAAGGCTATGCTCCCGGTGATGATGTAGCTGGTTCAGTGTAAATTTAAATGAAAAGCCCCATGTTGTCTTCCTACAAAGATGGTGTGTAATCCTCCCCATACGGGAGTTGGTTTAAGACGCATAACAGGAAAACACCGTTCAGTATGACGAAGGAAGGAACCTAGCTGGGGGAATAATTGTTACTGTAAGATGATGTCGTATTCAAGATTCAAAGAATTGTTTTCCCCTGACACAACGCCTTCCTTGTTGGAACCTTTCCCTTCTACCTTTACATTACGATCTGTAATCTATCTATGGAATTGAGGTGCACATTCAAGACAGATTGGTATATTTAGAGTTGTTTTTCTATATAATCACACAGTTAAGACACTTTGTCGACAACCTTTATGCTTTTGTTACCCCTCATGTGGGTACAATGTGTGAAGCCCATTTCTTGCGCTCCCTTCTGTGATATTGCTTAATGTGAGTGCGTGAGGGAGGTAATATTTAGCGTTATTATTATTATTATTGGATATTTATATAGCGCAAGTATCCACGCACTAGTGCATGCTCAAGGCGCTGGTAGTCTTTCCCTCGATCATTGGATGTGAATCTCAACGGCACATCTTAATATCAATCTCAACTCCCTGGGATCATACAACTCTTGCAGCCACTACATCGGCAATATTTCAGCCATATCGTGACGAGAACAATTTGTTAATTAAATCAATAAATTTAGAACATTAAAACCGGGTCAGTTAAAATACTAGAGTACCACATATCTTAACTTAAAACTAGTACGTTATAATAAAACAGATATCACTATAGACAACAATACAACCTAAAAACAGGCTACAGATCACCAGGGACAAAAGCTGATCAGTCTTCACAAGAGAACAAATTGTAAACACCAGAGAATACTAGTCTCGAATACACGACTATTTTAGGGCGTTTAGGGCCAATTGTATTGGTGACTATTATATGAATTAATCACTTATAATCAGTGGTATCTCATCACGTGTATCCCTAGTGGTATCAGGGCATGTATCCCATCATCACGATTGCATCGTTAGCGTGTGTATTAAAAGTTGCAATTGAACACTGGCAATAAACAGATGTCACTTGTATGATCCCTATGATCTTGAGCATGTGTTTATAAATCACTGTAAACTAGTGATGTTACCGAGCATGCTACCCCACAGGTGGCATCTGTCACAATCAGCAACTCGTCCTTGTCGTAAGAGGTGACTAACGGATTGGGTGGTCAAGCTCGCTGACAAGGTTGATGCATGTCATGCTATTCCATTTGCGATGTCAATCACTGGGTTGTCTGGCCAGAAAGTTGAAAAGATTGCTGAGTGAAAATTGCCATATCAACCAACCAACCAACCAAACAAACAACAACTCTTGTGAAAGGGTCGTATGAAATCTTTGTGGAAAGAACATGCTCGATTGTACTTCAAAACCTGTGAGATGAAGAACACATGGGCTAGGGTTACTGTTATATTCCCGTGCAATGTTTCGAAAGTCAGACAATGATAGGAAGCAGTTGGACTGTTTACCTTATCAGTTAGAGTGAAGGTGTTCATATGTCAATACTAAACTAGGGTGTATTTCCACCGCGTGTTCGTCATCTCCCTTTCTAACAACCTCTCTATATCATCTGATACATATCAACGCCAACAGTGTGATGGTGATCTCGTCAGTGATATTACACGCCAGGAAACCGCTGAGCAATGAAAGTTTGTTTAATCCTTTAAAGACAGCTCGAGCTTTGAAGTCCTCAGTTTAAGATGCCGTGTAATTTACGAAACTGTGAGATTTCAAATTAGGCACAGAGGCATATTTTACACAAAACGTTTCGAACGCTGCATGTCTGGAATATTTCATATCCATGTCCGATTTGAGAGTCCACACCCTTCAAAAGCTGCAAAGGCTCACCTCCATCTAGACGCCCAATAATATAACGTTACAAGTCAAAACAGCCGAGCCACCAAAACCCAAAGGTGATAGTTTTTGCAAAGCATAATGCATGTTTTGGCAGTAACGGGACAATGCTAATTTATTCAAGCAAGATCTGGATATTGAAAGAGATTATATAAATTCTGAGACAACAAGGCATTTTGGGGAGATCTACCCTCCCTATAAACAGGTGGAACTTTGCCCAAACTAACATAGTTCTGCCGCCATATTGAAATTAAGGCGTGAGCATTCATGCCACCTGTTGACTGAGTCCTAGCCAACGTAAGATCACATAGACGATAACAGCTCAGTACAGAAACATGACACATGTAAACATGAACAGAACGGCAAAAGGCTTTTGTTTAGGAAGATCCATGTGAAAAGAAGCTGAACTGACGCAACATTCATTTGCTTAATGGCAGAAGGATAATGCTGAGTAATACGCTTTAAGAGCGAGAGCATAAAATAGAAACCCTCAAATTATCCTGAGCTGTTTTCAGTAAGAAATCAAGGGCTTGTTTTAATCCATGCTAAACACCATTTCAGTTATCAGCAATGATGAGTATAATCGTTTGGTTTCTTGACATCGGATGGAAGAGAGTTGAAAGGTGCCTATACATAAAAAAATATTTTCCAGTCATTATACCAGCAATGCTTAAAACCTAAGTAAGTTTGAACAATTAACAAATATGAATCAATAGTCTTCTTATCCTCATTAAATACATGAATACTATGGGAAGTATACCAATGTATCGCATTTACCAGTATGTGTTCAACTTGTGTTTATATCATTATGGAAATGGTTTTGACACGTATTTACATACACCTCGTGCTTTTCAGTTTCTCTCTTAAGCAAACATGACGAGTCAAATAAAATGTAAGTGTTTGAAATAGTTTTACCACAGTCATTTGACAGAATAAAAATTGTGTGGAGACATTATTTTGGTCGTATGTACTCAACCTCCAATGCAGAAAATGCCCCAACTGAGGTCGGATGTTATATCAGGCGTCTTGAGGACCATCAACGTCAACATACCCAAGAAAATGGAATAGTTCTCATGCAAGTGAACCGGTGCTGCCAACCGCTTGAGCCTACTATAAACTAAATAAAAAGTTCTGTCTTAACATTTCATAACTCTAATTCCGAAGGGATCACCACTGTACCTGTTATCCAAATTCCTAAGTGACATCGCGTATGTGTGTTCATCATCGATTACGTATGTGCGCCTCTCACTGAGAACCAAAGTCCTCGCTTAGAATAACTAATGCTGGTTATCGTTCTGTTTGGCATCAACTATACTCTCAACGTCTCGTGATTATGAGAAGGGTTTGCATATGCCCTGTGTGTAATGTTTGAGGAACAAACACGACTCCAAAAAGACAAATACCGTTTGTTGATATTCATCAGATAATACAAATTATAAGTGGACATGTGAAATGGCATTGTCTTTGACAGTGACCATGTGAGATAGAAATTGATTGATTGAAATCCAGATCATACACGCATTGTATGAAGATGTGCTGTAATTTGCAGAATGATTGTGGGAAGTATGTTATATTTGCATTTCTATTTTGTTTTGTCAATATACAACCCGCCAGACAACGTGCTTTTCATATTGGATCACAAACTCTTTACATAAATATCCCAAGGAACAATATTGACCATGGAAATAATTGGTTTACTTTTCAAATTGAACTATAAAAAAATTATTGAAGTGAAAATATTCACAAATTTCCTTCACAAAATAGGGATAAAAATCTGTTGATATTCATGAGAAATCCATGAGAAAATGAGTCCAGCTACATCATGAGCATGTGGTAATGAATCACTGGCAAATAGTGATAACACCAGGTGTCCAGGTCAAGATGTACAAGGACAACAAATGCCAGACAAAACATCATACTTTGACATATTCGTCACTTCAGTGTAGTGTAGGTACAGCAATGTTATCTAACATGTGGAATATAAATCCCAATAGTTCACACCTGAATGTAACTCAAAGTTAACTTATCCAGGATGTTAGTGGTGAATTTACCATCAGATGAGGCCCTTGCAAGACGTAATGGACAACGTGCCTTAAACAGAATGATATTGTGCTTGTGCCTTTAATAGAAACTACATAACTTAAACATATATAATGATCACGCCACTTGACTGATCGCAAGTTAAATTAGGACAAAACAGTTTCTTTTGCACTATCTGCCCAGAGTTAATCAAATGAAGAGTATCTACGACACGTCTTTGCCACGTTGTCATGCATAATCTAATATGTTTGAGGACGAGGATGTGTAACTTGGGCATTATGAAGCATTAGTATGTGCGTTATGGTCTCTAAGGTGAATGAAATTATTAGAATTAGGATATGCTGTTCTATATTTATTGATGTGGTTGTGGCTTGTGACATATTTTGTTCTTACTAAATGATGACATGGATTTATTGATGTGAGAAATCTTGAGTTGCTAAAATGTAATGCCTGCGGTAGATTTAAACTCACAATTTCTGGATTGATTCTATTTACAACCGACGATGAGTATTGGGTTAGGCAATAACTGTATTTGTTTGTCTTAAATTACCAAATGATTATGGCAGACAATGTTGCCGGGTTAAGAAGGTATATGGCCTTGTTTGATGGTGGAATAATATCAAACAAGCTACAAATGATTATTCTATAGTGATGTACTTGAAACAGGCAATATCACATGCATCATATCCACGAGTATCTTACAAGACATGACGTCTTAAAGAACATGGGGATAGGAATTTCAGTGAAGAGTAAAGCTGGTATATTCAACTGGATAGTTTCTTGATCCGGCAGAATAGCAAATATAGACCATAAGGTAAAAACTTATCATGCTTGTCAAAGTGACGGTCTTCTCATGTAAAAGAATACCTTATACATTTCTATAGTTGATAATTTGGTATATGTTTGTTAAATGTCACCGATGGTCAAGTAATATATTATACATGGGTTTTGATGACAAAGAGAAGCTTTTTTGATACACAATTCACATAACGATGACATTTTCTGGGATATTTCCCTCCCTAAACTGTTAAACTATCTCACAATGTTCATTGATGCCCATTGTTTATGTAAACCTTACTGAAGCCCACATTCCACTTCCAAAATACATCCATGGCGAAGATTCAAAGTGAACGCCCAAAATCAAGAAAGTTAAATTTAAATACAACAGCATACCTTTTTTACCCAGAACAGTGTGTATATATTATGTCCAAGAACAACACACAATGTTGGTATGGATATGTATAAAAACACAGTTGCCCGGTGCAATTTAAAAAGACGTTAAACATTTTGCACCAGGTTCTCGGTGACCCATCGTTCAGACCTTGCATCCCCTACAGCACACCTAGGAGGAAGTGTTTAACAACTGATACAATAAGAAGGATGAACAGCACATGCTAGGGTTCCTTGGTCATGTATAACAGACCTGTGTGAAAGTGGAGGAAGCCACAACAGAAGTTATCGTTGAATGGCTGAAAATTCCGTATGTAATATTGTTCTTTTGCAACATCTGAGTCACTTTGTTCAAGACGAACCTCCTCATCAAATACTAGCGTATACTGCATTCTTTCGATGGGGTAAAGACATATATGCTCTTACCTATCCTCAGTATGAAGTAGCAATAGAGTTTAGGATAACGGAATGTGATGATTGGGCCTCTCAACGTATCATTATAAGGAGATCATGATAGCTTTAACACGTTATATTAAAAAAGTCACATATGTAGGTAAAAGGTAATGTTTCCCATACAGAATATAAGATAATGCAGAACAGGAAGGTAATTTAAAGCAATAAAATGAGTGTCTTACCTCTAGGACCGTCAACAGTAAAATCAAAAGACACCAATATTTAGCTTCCATAGTGTTGCTTCTAGATGAGTTCTTCCGAAAATGTTTTATCATGTTTCAGCTTGGTTCACTTCTGCCTTGAAGTGTTTTGGTATTATGATAAATTATTATGAACGCAACACAGTTCAAAACCTACAGAGGTTTACACTCTGTAGTCAGCAGTGGTCAGCAGTCTAAGTCCAAGTTATGTCTGCTCAAAACCCGTTTTCACACAATTCCAGCATCCGTATCATAATTCACGAAGACTTAGCAGCTCTCCCAGCTGTACCCCTCCTTCCTCTCAAGAAGGTTTGTAGCTTTCACTTGCTTGTCACAATCCTTCTATACTTGTAGAGATCTTAGCTCCTAATGAATCAACACTCCCTTTCTTGGCTGCTGTTAAACGCCGACCAACCTCTAGCATCGACCGCACAGGGGCCTGTAACAGTTTCTTTTGCTCAGGTAATCCCGCTCTCAGGCTGTGCAAAGCTTTAAATAACGGCACACGTTGGAGGGTATCTCAAACAAGTGCAGACGTGACAGTGCGGAGTTTCGATGCTCGAGCAGACGACACTCAAAATGACGTCTGCTACGCCCTGAGAAATTTGCTTTTGGCGGGACAGCCCACGTGGGCCAGAAAGCACTTCAAAAAAGGTTCGGGAGATGACTGTGGATTCGCTGAAGACCTGAACCAGCCTTTGATTGAAATCGTGTCTTGATGAAGGAGGCTCTCAATGTGATCATGATGTTTGGATCAGAGAACTAAGTTGTTCGTGCCATATAGAAACCTGGGCTGGACTGTTTAGAATGTTGTGACATTCATTTGGTTAGATTTCCCACACATTTGTAGAATTGCGAACTGATGTTGGTTATAGGAACAGCTTGTGAGACGTTAAGTTAAATACGTCATGATAGGTGATGCAATTTAATTGCAAATATTGACAGATCAGGGGTCTCCCAGATTATATCCGCCCAAATTAATCATTTTTAAATAGAAAATTCAACAATTGATGATGTAATTTCACATTATTCCATTACTTTCTTGTTTTCAAATTCAAGGGTGTGTGAAGTCACGAAGTTGGTTTGATTTTCTGTACTTTTGTTTAATGAGATGTGTCTTCCTTAACGTATTCCCAG